TGGGGGAGGGGGTAGGGGTGGGGGTCGAGGTGAGGAGGTAGAGGGGTCTCCCGTGTCCCAGAAGGTGGTGATTCACAGCGCCGGCGACAGCGCCATTTGTACGTTCTCCTGTCTGCTCATTGGCCTCCTGATTCTGGCCGTCTGCTGAGACTGTCACGTGACTGGTCATTTCATTGGTCATCTCAGTGGTCATGTGACTGGTCTTGTGACTGGTCATTTTGGTCGCTTTTAAGCACAAGGGGGTTATCCCAAAAAGTGCTGTTTTGATAAAAATCGAAGGTAAAGTTTTTGCCCCTTGTTCAGTTTCTTTAAAAGACAAGGAGAGTTTTCTTTATAACCAAACAAATGCACACACCAATGAAACCAAACTTCTCCTATGGATAGAAGGGCAATTGTCACTCTTGGTGTAGGTCAAGATTTCAGGAAACCCCGAAATCTGGGTTAGCCAGCTTGTTCTTAAAAGCGACCATATCACGGGTCATTTCACTAGTCATGTGATTGGTCATGTGACTGATTAGCTTCTTTGCCATCTTGTGTGTCAATATTTTGTCTGTCTATCGCCCATCTATTGTCCATCTATTGTTTTTCTATTGTTTTTCTATTGTCTATAAATTGTCCATCTATAATTCATCTATAATTCTTCTATTGTCCGTCAATTGTTCTACTATTTTCCATCCAGTGTCCATCTATTATTCATCTATTGTCCATCTATTGCCATTAGACTGTGCCACCATGCCACTCGAAATGTCAGCACTTGCAACACAACTAGGTCGTATACTATAATAAGTGTGGAAGATTAGAGGGTGTTTTTGGAGAGTAATATACACGGAAAAGAAAGGAAGGAGGACAGGTAAGGACTATAAATGTTTGAAAGGAAAGAAGGAGAAAGCCACAGCCGAGCACGCGCCAACCACCCACTCATAAAGAAATATACGAATTTCAGGAATTGATTTTGGTGAGACTTATTTCATTGCATGATTTGTGGGCCATTTGGTTCTCCTGATCTTGAATTCCTGAATAGACCTCCAACTTTACTCAATCTAATACAGTTCCATTCAACTCAGTAATGAATGTCTTTTTGAAGAATCTGTATCACTCAACACTGAACTTTGTTTGCTTGATTGGGGGATTGTTTGTTTGTTTGTTTTTCTTTTGTTTGGTTTGATTTTGTTTGGTTTGGTTTTGTTTCGCTTTGTTAGGGTTTGTTTGTTTTTTGTGTTAGTCCCATATACATGGATCCCCTCGGATTCGAACTTAATCCAACAAACTGTGAGCCAATGATGCATGGTGCTGGCTCGACCAGTCTGTGCTGACACCTCTACCTTATGAGACTCCACCAGCCAGACTTGTGGGGTCATGAGAGAAGCCCGCAAACTCTTTTTTTTAAATGTAATTCCAACTTTTATTTTTCATTCTCTTTATTTTATTTTATTTTATTTTACT